CATTCACATAAAAGCCAATTAGTAAAGTTCTCTATCTAAGGAATCCAGCAGACAAGATGAATCTTGGCTTCGTTGCAGTGTCTCATCCTGAACAAGCACAGTGGCAACAGTGGAAAGAAAAACTCCCTTTTAACAGGAAGAAACCTCCAGCAGAACCAGACTCAGGACAAGTGGCCATCTGCTTTGACCGGCTGGTTGAGAGGACAGGAAGGAGAGACAGACGAACACAGAATGGTAGGTCCAGGTATAGGTCCAGCTGTACCTGAAAGACAAAAACACTCATGTTAAGGATAGAAAAAATAATTACAAATACAAAACAGGTTGAGCAGAGTAAGTAAAGACAGTAGTAGAGTGAAAAGTGTGGTCAGTTTGTCCTCCAGCAGTCTAAGCCTATAGCAGCATAACTAAGGTACAACTCAGGAAACTCAAGCCAACCCTAACTATAGGATTTATCAAAAAGGAAAGTCTTAAGCCTAGTTTTAAAACTGGATAATGTGTCAGCCTCACAGACAGAAACTGGAAGTTGGTTCCACAAGAGAGGAGCCTGATAACTGAAAGATCTGCCTCCCATTCTGTTTTTGTAAACTCTTGGAACCACAAGTAAACCTGCAGTCTGAGAGTGAAGTGCTCTGTTAGGAAAATATGGAACAATAAGATCTGTAATATAAGATGGAGCTAGGTTGTTGAGAGCTTTGTAGGTTAGAAGTAAGATTGTGAATTCTATTCTGGATTTGACAGGGAGCCAATGGAGAGAAACTAAAACTGGAGAAAAATGATCTCTCCCAGTAACTCCAGTTAAGACTCTGGCAGCAGCATTTTGGATCAACTGAAGAAGTATTTGGACACCCAGATAATAAACCATTGCAATAGTCGTCTAGACATGACAAATGCATGGACCAGTTTTTCTGCATCATTTTTAGATCAGATGTTTCTAATGTTAGTGATATTACGCAGGTGGAAGAAGGAGGTTCTAGTAACGTTTTTAATGTGGGGGATAAAAAACATGTCCTGATCAAAAATAACACCAAGATTTTTAACATTAGAGCTGGAGGACAGATTAATGCCATCTAAGGAGGGAGAAAGACTGAAAAATTCATTCCTAAGGTGCTCAGGTCCAAAAACCAAAACCTCAGTCTTGTCTGTTCAACAGAAGAAAATTAAGGGTCATCCAGGTTTTTATGTCTTTAAGACATGCTTGTAGTCTAAGTAGCTGATTTGATTCATTGGGTTTAATGGACAAATATAATTGTGTGTCATCAGCATAACAATGAAAATTTATCCCATGCTGTTTAATAACTTTACCTAATGGAAGCATATATAAAGTAAAGAGTATATGCCCAAGCACTGAGCCCTGAGGAACTCCATGACTAACTTTGGTGTATGAAGAAGATTTATTATTTACATTTACAAACTGGAATCTATCAGATAGATATGATTTAAACCATTTTAGAGCTGTTCCTGTAATCCCAATATCATATTCAAGCCTCTGTAGTAAAATATTGTGATCAACTGTATCAAATGCAGCACTGAGGTCTAACAGGACCAGTATAGACACAAGTCCATTGTCTGAGGCCATGAGAATATCATTAGTGACTTTTACTAGTGCTGTTTCTGTGCTATGATGAGCTCTAAACCCTGACTGAAACTCTTTAAACAGATTATTTCTTTTGTAGATGTTCAAGCAACTGACCTGCAACTATTTTCTCTAGAATTTTTTAGATGAAAGTTAGATTAGATATAGGTCTATAGTTGGCCAGAATTTCTGAATCAAGATCAGACTTCTTAAGTAAAGGTTTAATTACAGCAACCTTAAAGCGCTGTGGTACATAACCATCCATTAAAGACAAATCAAGTAGATCCAAAATGTGGACTTTAATTAGGGGAAATATGTCTTTAAACAGTCTGGTTGGGATGGGATCTAGCAGACATGTGGATGGTTTGGATGAGGTTATTCTTTTTGACAATTCAGAGAGCTCAACAGGACAAAAACTGTCCAAACATAAATCAGGCTCTAGTGAAATTTTTAAAGTTGCCTCATTTGACAGGGGACTAGAGATAGTAGAAGGAAGGATGGTTTGAATTTTCTCTCTAATTGAAATAATTTTATTTATAAAGAATCTCATGAACTCATCACTACTTATAGTTGTAGGGATACATGGTTCAACAGAAATGGGACTTTTAATTAGTCAAGCTATAGTACTAAACAGAAACCTAGGGTTATTTTTATTCTCCTCTATTAAAGATGAGTAATATAAAGTTCTAGCTTTACGGAGAGCTTTTTTATATGTTAGCAGACTATCTTTCCAAGTTAAATAAAATTCTTCAACGTTAGTAGAGCGTCATTTTCTCTCCTGGTTTCTAGATGCCTTCTTTAAAGTACGTAACTCAGAATTGAACCAAGGAGCCAGATTCCTCTGATTTTCCCTAACACCCGCGATAAACGTGGAACTACTTTGTGTTTAACACCCGTTAAAATACCCACCAACCCCCACGCCGGCCCGTTTGCTATTTGAGTTCCACCATGGACTGGTTTAGCCCTGGTTTTAACACAAACGTGCAGCTCAGAAAGGAAGAAAGCCCTCCGGGGAAGTTCAGTTATGGTATGAATGTCCTTCGTTTGGAATGTTGTGTTTCAACAGGGAGGGGGGTCCCTGCTTTCAACATCACATTCAGAAGCAGACTGTTGAATGCCCATCTACTCACTACAGACTCATGTTCAGGCTGCTGTTTAATACACCATATTATTTTACATTATTAGTGTTTAGTGTATATCTACTGTTTCTTTTTATATTTTTGCTATTTTTGGGTGTAACTGGGACCTTGGGTACACAGTTTCATTCCACCTCATGTACCACATGTGATGCGAATGACAATAAAGAAGCTTGAACCTTGAAACAGCAGCTAACACAAAGCCTTGTGTGTTTACAGTGACTTTATTTGTTGTGTTTCTTATTAACTAACTCGTTTTAACTTCTGGATACTCAGATGATAGTTTTAAGAGGCTAATAAATGTTGTTTATCTCAAAATGATCAAATATAAAGCATGCATGGGTAAAATGGGACCCTAGAACCTGAAGGACTCACAGTTTGTCTCCAACTGGTCTTTGAAGTCTGCAAATGAAGATAAAACAACTTGTTTTAAACCCAAGCAACACAGTTTCTAATTAAATATTTGATGAAGTAAAGTGAGGTTCTGTGTCTTTCATGTTGTAGATAGTGCCGTGAAATATATTGAAAACTGAAGAAATTGCATTTCCTGCAAAAATGCTGTGAACGCAAATGCTTATTGCTGAAGAACTTGCTGACAAACAGCTGAAAGTAGCTAAAAACATGCTGAAATGTAGCTGGAATCGAAGAACAAGCCTAAGTTAGCAGAAAAATTAAGAAAAAACACATATTTGCTGAATTAGATTTAAATACGGGCAGCACGGTGGCGCAACGGGTAGAGCTGCTGCCTCTCAGTGAGCAGGTCCCTGGTTCAACCCCCAGTCCAGGGGCCTTCTGGGTGGAGTTTGCATGTTTTCTCCGTGCATGCGTGGGTTTTCTCCGGGTACTCCGGTTTCCTCCCACAGACCAAAAACATTGGTTGGTAACTCTAAATTGTCCCTAGGTGTGAGTGAGAGAGTGAATGGTTGTTTGTCTCATTTGTCTCTATGTGTCCCTGTGATGGACTGGAGACCCGTCCAGGGCGTACCCCGCCCCTCGCACAGTGATTGCTGGACATGGGCACCAGCGACCCCCGTGACCCAAAATGGAATAAGCGGGTAAAGAAAATGGATGGATGGATGGATTTAAATACTGGTACGTAGAAAACACAAAAATAGCTATAGAAAGGCTGAAAAGTAGCCAAAAAGGCAGAAAGTAGCTAAAATGCAAGAAGGAAGTGGAGAGAGCACGTTTGCTGAATGAGGGTGAAAGAAGTTGAAAGGCATGCAAAAAATGTGGAATTAGTTGAAAAAGCTAAAATTTGCATAAAACTGCAAACTAATAGCTGAAATTTGCATAAATAATCTAAATGAGCACAAAACAGCTGAAAGTAGCTGAAAAAAGTTTAAATTTGCAGCAGGAAGCTGAAAGAAGCTGAAGCAGAACAAAACGTGAAAGGAGCAGAAAAAGGTTGTAAACAGAGCTAAAGATGTGAAGGATGGAAAATGAGCATTTTCTATGAAAAAAAGGGAGAAAAGGCTAAATATTTCAAAAAGCCAAAGTTGCACCAGAAATGTCCTAAAAGAGCTGAATGCTTTGATTTATGTTTTGTTGAAACAGCTGAAAACTGTGGGACGAGAATCGTGCTGAAATCTCAGCACGATGAAATCTCTTTTATTGTGTGAATGCTTCATATACATTCACACAATAAAAATTTAATTCCGTAACAAATAAAGAAATTGGTATTTTGGCCATCTACTGTCAATCACAAGTCTTCACTGCTCTGACAACCTAAATGTAAAAATTGTATTGAGCAAACAGGACAATGTGTAAAAATAGCTGCTAACAGGATGTTTAAAAAAGCTTTGTTTTGCTGCCACCTTGTGTTCATATACAGAATTATAGCATGCAAAAAATGCAAAATATGGAAAACAGTTTGTGAAACCTGCAGCTTGTGTTTTCACATGTAACTCATTAATTATGATACGAGTCATCAGTAACATGAGCTGCACATTTAGGATCAAACAACTCCCCTCATTCCAGGTCTCTCTTGTAAATGAGTCTCCGAGGCTCAGAGGGATTGACCTCTAGAAATAAAGGTTAAATTTGTTTCTGTGTAACAGTGAGAAGTTCTTTAAGAATTTCTTAATTCTTAAAGAACTTCCGCTGCCGCACCACATCAATGATTTGTCGTGCGGAAGCTTTCGCTGTCTGTCACCACTCTTACTTCATCTGAGGTAAGAGTTTTAAGAAGGTGAATAAAGTCATTGCTGTTGTTGTTGTTTATTTGGTGTTTGTTTGATGAGCGGCTCATTGACCTTGACTGAACTGTGTGCTCTTCTCTGACCCCCCAGGCCCCACACCGATGACTCAGGAATGCGCAACAATACTACCACCCTCACCTCCACACCGCCAAGCAGCCTCCCTTCTCAGGTGCACCCCTGCAGCCCACCAGACTCTGCCTCTTCTCTCACCCCCTGCTCCTCCTTGCCCCCTTCTGTGTCACCAACCCTCACCGATGTCTTCGGCCTGCCTACTCCTCCCATGGGCAGCAGCGGCGGATACAGCCTGAGCTCGTCGTGCGGCGGCAGCGGAAGCTCTCGTTCTCCATCACCACTCACCCTGATGCAGGCGGTGGCAGCCTCAGGGAAGCCCTTCGCTTCCAAGTCCATGGAACTGTGGAGCAAACACGATGTGGCTGACTGGCTGGAGAGCCTGAACCTGGGGGAGCACAAGGAGGCCTTCCTGGACAACGAGATTGAGGGTGCCCACCTGCCGTCTCTTCAGAAAGAGGACTTGATAGACCTGGGCGTGACCAGAGTGGGGCACCGCATGAACATCGAGAGGGCCCTGAAACTCCTCCAGGACAGATAAACCCTGTGGAGATGGAGACTGAAGCAGGGATTCTGGCTTAGTGGAAGGGTGGGGGGTGTTTTCAACCACGTCAACCATCAGATGCAACCTCGAGTCACAAGATTTTGTCCACGCTGAAGCTGCCTCGTGGTGTTTTTGTCCTTCCTCATCCTCGTTCATCATCTTCATTAGTGCTCCAGTATGATCGTCTCCTCCTGAGGTCCAAGGAGGGGCGGTGAGGGGGTCCCAGAAAACTAGAAGGATCAGCTACTATGCTGCGTGATAGGACGACTGGTTGATGGACTGTTCAGAAAATTTTACAATGCTTCAATCTCTGAGAGTAAGAAAAATGTTCCTCCACTCCAGGTTTCTTGTGCTCAGTCCTGCTTTGGAATACTAATGACTTTTCCCGTGCATCCGGTGTGGGTGCACGAAGAACCAGCTGAGCTGGTTGTCGCTCCTTTTCTATCTTTGCTAGAGTTTGTTCAGAGAATATTTCTTCACTAGAGTCCTAAGGAAGTTATATTTCTGGCTGCATCTGAGGTTGTATAGAAAAATTTGAGATAAACCTTTTGTTGTTGCTGCTTTTCACCTGTTTGTGTCAAAATAAGAGTCGTGGCTGACGAGTTGAAGCTAAACCACAAGTCGTCTCCACACACACAGTTTATGCACAGTGCCACCTGCTTAGAGATCATACACTTTATTTACACTCTGAACATGCACAAAAACACACACACAAACTTTTGTCTTCTGAGCGTAGCGTGGAGAGTGATGATGGACATGGGAGGAGCTGCAGGTGTCGTATCATGGGGAGGAGCACGATGAGGAGGCAGGATGAATGATGGATGGAGAAAATACTCATCTTGAAATGCTCACACCTGAAAAAGAACATTACTGTTCTCTCTAAGCTTTTCCTTCAGCTTTGGGTTTGTGTGTGTGTGGGAGGGGGGGGGTGATGTTTGACCCCCAAAAATCATTGGGGCCCGTTTAGCTGTTTCCATAAATCTGCTATGTAGGCAACAATGTAGAGGAAGGAGAAGAGTTTGTTTTGTTCTTCTTCATGTCAAAACTTCTTCCACCTTGTTAGTACCAGGTCAGACCAGTAATGTGACCTCACCCACAGTGATGCTGATGTGTCAGACACTGATGTAGAAGCTGAGGTTTTATTAGAGGTAATGCTCCAGGACACGTCTTGAGGAAACATTTTGTGAAATACAGTTAAAAGAGAGGAAAAATCACTAAGCTCCAGTGACAACACATATTTATTCTTAACAAATATTGCATGTTGAGACATGTAAGCACACTTTTAGCTTTAACATTTCTAGTATCAGAACATAATAAAACAGTAATATGATCCTCCCCAGAGGTCTGAACCGTGAAGTGAGATTAATGGATTAGTAAAGTAACAGGAGGTTCAGTTGAGGGTTTTAGGTATAATGAAGCTGGATCAGTGTTTACAGGGGTCTGTTACTGTGGAAACTGATGCTGAACTAATATGCTCTGAAGCAGCTTTCTGAATTAGAAGTCACAAATTCACTTTATTTTTATAGCATCAATTCCCAACAAGACTTCGCATCGTAAACTCAATTGCAGGCAATTCGCTCCAAACATCCATCCATCCATTATCTCTTCGAGAGTCAGGTCCTGGCGGCAACAGCTTGAACAGGGAGACCCAGAAATCTTTCTCCTCAGGCATTCCCAGCTCAGCCAAAAGATATAGTGTGCCCTGAGGTCTCTTCCCTGTTGCGCATGCTTGGAAAACTTTGGGAGCAGGTCTGTTTATAACCAAGGTTGCCCTCTGGATGTGTTCTGAGGGCAACCTTACCAGATGCCCAAACCACCTTAACTTACTCTTCTCAATGCAGAGGAGCAGTGGCTCTACTCAAAGTCTCTCCCGAACAACTGAACTTCTCACTCTATCTCTAAAGGAGAGTCCAGCTACCCTGCAGAGAAAACTCATTTCAAACGTTTATATTCGTGACCTTGTTGTTTTGGTCACAAAGCATGTGATCATAGGTGAGGATAGCAAAATAGATCAAACAGTAAGCAAAGAGCTTTGCTTTGCAGCTCACCTCCTTCTTCAGCACAGCAGACTGGAACAGAGCCTGCAGTACTGTAGAAGCTGCACTGATTTGTCTGTGAACTTCTCAGTTTAATTCAGTTTATTTATACAGCACCAAATCACAACAAAGTTGTCTCAGGGCACTTTACAGAAACATTCACATACATAGAAAAGCCAATTAGTAAAGTTCTCTATCTAAGGAAGCAGCAGACAAGTTGAATCTTCACTTCGTCGTAGTCTCCCATCCTGAGCAAGCACAATGGAGACAGTGGAAAGAAAAAACTCCCTTTTTAAAGGAAGAAACCTCCAGCAGAACCAGGCTCTGGACAAGTGGCCATCTGCTTCGATTGGCTGGCTGGGTTCTCACTCTATTCCTTCCTCACTCACGAAAAAAACCCTGAGATACTTGAACTCCTCCACTTGAAGCAACACCTCACCCTCGAGCCAGAGAGAGCCATCCACCCTTTTCCGACAGAGGAGCATGGCCTCAGATTTGGGGTGCTGATCCTCATCCCAGCTGCTTCACACTCAGCTGCGGACTGCTCCAGATCATGGTACAATGATGCAAACAGATCACATCATCCAGAAATAGCAGAGATGGAACCCTGAGTCCACCAAACCGGACTCCCACCACCAGCAGCAATAAATTCTGTCCATGAAAGTTATTAACATAATCAGCGACAACGGGCAGCCCTGGCAGAGTCTTACTTCAACCCTGAAGGGATCAGACTTTGTAAAGTTGGTCTAGTGTTTCATGACCTGGACGGAACCCATATTTGTCCTCCTAAATCTGAGCTTCTATGATCAGTCGGACTCTCTTCTCCAGTACCCCTGAATATACCTTACTGGAAAGGCTAAGGATAGTGATGCCCTTGTAATTGGAACACATCAACGTCTGTACCTCTTTTTAAAGAGAGGAACCACCACCCCAATCTGAAAATCTATTGGCACTGTCCCCAATGTCCATGTAATGTGGCAAAGGCATGTCAACTAAGACAGCCCAGAAACATCCAGAGCCTTGAGGAACTCCCCCTGGAGCCCTAGCACCACCTTTTTAACTACCTCAACAACCTCAGCTCTGGTTATGAATTGACCAACCACCAAGTCCCTTGACTCAGCTTCCTTTGTGAAAGTCATGCTGGTGAAACTGAGAAAGTTCAAGAATTATTCCCTTCATAACCAGACAACATTACTGGTTGAGGTACAAAGTGCTAAAGTGCTACTTTGCCTGCCTCGGATGCTTAATGGTTTGCCAGAATATTCTTGAAGCCAATTGAAAGTCTCTATCCAAGGCGTCATTAAACTCCTCCCACATCCAAGCTTTTGCCTGAGCAACAGCCAAGGCAGCAGTCCACTTGGCCTGCCGATACCTGACAGCTGCCTTTGGAATCCTACCAGCCAACAAGGCCCTATAGAATTCCTTCTTCAGCTTGATGACCTTCCTTACTCAGAATGTCCACCATAGAATTTAAGGATGGCTGTCTTGAGAGGCACCAGGAACCTTGTGGCCACAGCTCAAGGCAGCCACTTCAACAATGAAGGCATGAGATATGGCCCTTTCAGACTCAATGTCCCCTGCTACCTCAGTGTGCAGTGTGTAGGCCTCTAAATCAGCACCATGGGCAGCCATGAAATAAAGTGCAGCCTCTCTCAAGGAGATTGGTTCTAAAACTTATACTAAACATGTTGAGATGAGCCTACACTAGAGACTATATGCTGTTGGTATCCCTCAACCTCACACAAAAGCCTAGGCTCCTTTTTCACCAGAGAGGTGGTATTTCATGGCCCAGAAGTCAGCTTTAGTAGGCTGTTCTTGCAGGTGGTGGGCACGTAGGGAGGCGAACACATGTCGCTCATTCAAGCTGAGACCATCCGGGCCTTATGGGTGGAGGCCCAGTCATCTGATTGACATGCTAATTCCCTAGGCCTGCCTTCAAGGAAGGGCCCTCAACATACATCTGGGCAAGGGATATTTAGCTCCTCATTGTCTTCTGTCCATAAGAGTACTGTGAATTGTTCTTTCGTCTTTAACCAATTTGCCTTGGGAGAGCCTACTTGAGACGATTTACCCTGACAGTATAACTCCTAGATGTCACCACCACTGGTGGCAATTCATAAAGGGGTTCTGTCTGTCTGTCTGTCTGTCTGTCTGTCTGTCTGTCTGTCTGTCTGTCT